CCCCCCCACCTCCCCCACCGGGTCTGTGGAGTGACCACCTGGGGGCCTCCGGTTCCATCCTGGGGGGCGTTTGATCCCGGGACTCGTCTGGCCCCGGAGGCCCCCCCCCCGGGCGGGGTGGCCCCCCCTCGGTGGGGGAGGCCTCACTGCTGGAGGAGGAGGTGCAGCAGGAGGAGGAGGAGCAGGAGGAGGCTCTGGACACGGCGAAACCCGGGGAGCGCCACCCCTGCAGGGCGGGAGGAGACAGTTATTAGTGACCCCCCCAAAATAAAGAAACATGACAAATACAGCAGAACCTGTACTCCAGATCCCCTAAACGTACGAATTTTCCAACATATGAAGTGAAATTTGATCAAATATTTGACTCGACACCCAAAGTAAATCGTCAAAGTCATAGAGAAAAATATATCAAATATAATCAAATATATAAATTAAATATAAATAAATAAGCTAAGTTAGTTAGAGTTAGTTTTCAGGTAATGAAAATTAGAGTAAATTAGGGTATCCTGTATCTCAGTCTCCACCTCTACCTCCGTTAGCCAATAACTGCCAATAAAAAGGGGATTTTATTGGTTATTTCTTTATCATTTATTTCTTTTTGCATCTTTCTTATATAAGTAATTGTTTTTTTTTGCTATGTGTAATTATCTGTAGTATTTATTGAGGAGTTATCGTAGGTTTTTGGAACGTATTTTAGGATTTACAGTGTATTCTGATGGGATTATTCGATCCAATATATGAATATTTTAACATAGGAAGTCCTGGAACAAATTAAATCTGTAAGTAGAGGTTCTGCTGTCCAACATGTCTCCCGTTGTCGTAGAAACTGACCGAATCCTCGTTGACGACGGTCAGCAGCAGCTCCTCCTTCCCTCTGAGCCACGGCTGGAAGTATTTAAAGCCCTGTGGATGGACAACACAGGGCTATAACACACCTAGAAGCTGCCCCCCCCCCCCCGGCCCCCCCCCCCCCCCCCCCCTGAGTACTACCAGACCTGGAGTGATCCCACTAAGGCCAGGTCGTTCAGGAAGTGCTGCAGCCTCCTCTTCTGCTCCCTCTCTCGTTTCTATGGGCACAGAGACACGATTAAACGGGGATGCTGGCCGTATCCTAGCAACGCCTCCCAGCATCCCTCTCCTCCGGCAGCGAAAGGACCACAAGGAAGAACGAGGCCACCACAGACGTTCAGGTCTTTTTTTGGGGGTGGGGGGGTCGTTTCGGGGTACTTACGCTGCTCATTTTGGGGCTGGTCGCCGGGCACGCGCTTCCTCTCGGCCGGTCACGTGCCAGGCTGCGATATTAA